GATGTTTGAATATCAGAAATTAATGAAAGATTTTGATGGTGATTTGATGGATATTATTATAGAACCTCAGCTTAATCTAGGAGAAAAGAAATAGTTCAGGTGACGCATAACGAATGCCATTTTTATGCAAATGATGGATAACAGAGAATCTGAATGAGAGAAGATAAGGATATCTTACGCTCAAAACACAAAGGTCATTCTATCATAGTTTCGGCCTTTCTTTGTCCATATCACAGATTGTTACGATTATCTGATAAACAATTACAAGCAAATCTACACATTAAAAATAAAGAAGCTTTAGTTTTTCGTTCTATACAAACAGATGGATATTGGAAGTTGAAACATATGCTGAATCAGATACATAACCTAAGATTAGAGTTATTATAAAAAAATAAAATTAATTTTTTTGTTAAAGAAAATAGCTTGTATATTAAGCAATTCCAATATTTGAAATATTACATCCTGGTTATATTGGAGTTTTTTACTTTGACCAATCTACAAATCACAATGCAATGGCAGCTGATGCATTTATTGCAACGAGAATGAATCTAAGCCTCAGAGGAGTACAGCCTAAGATGCGTAATAGTTGGTATATTAATAAAAATAGACAAAAATGTATACAGTCAATGATATTTCCTGAAAATCATAAATTAAAGGGAAGCCAAAGGGTATCAAGTAAGTACTTAAGGAACGTAACCTTTGGCCAGATAAGAGTATTTGTTTAATGTGTGAGCAATGCTCTGGAAAACAAGATGATGTTAATCTAGAAAGGTCTGATTGTTGTGCAAGAAGAATCATGTTGTTACAACCTGATTTTTGTGAATAAAAATCAATATTAGAAGAAGCAATAATTGAAGCAAATCATATATTCGAACGATATTCAAAGTTCTATTGTGAGTGCAACTTCATAGAACGATACTAAGTTTTGTGAAATAAGAAATAAGATGGATATACAGTTATAATTTTGCCGATTTATTAGTACAAGTTCCAGAAGTTCTTATTAGCATTCCTGTAATGACCATCCATAAGTTCGCACAAAAGTCATGGAGGTATATAGACGCATATAATAAAGGATTAGAGGATAGGACCACTGAGTGAGCTGTTAATAAATATAAATCCCATCGTCGCTTACCCGAAAATATTGAAAGAATAATGGATTAGTTAAACATAGTAATAAATAAATAATAAATGAATGTAATAAACATCATTTAGCTGCTTTTATGATACGATTTTAAGCAGTGTCGTGTTTTTTTTGCAATGATCAATTTATAAAATATAAACGCGTATGCGTGGTATAAATTTCTTGGGTTTTTATTGGCCGATATTATATCACGTGAGCAATGGAAATTTTGAAACAAAGTTACATAATTGTTGAGTATAGACTTCTGGCATCATAAAAACTTTTTCAGTTCAAAGTTAGAGACTTTTACGTGATCAATACTAAATAATTTTCTTTTCAGTAAATACTACTAGAAATAATACTTCTTTATAAGCCATTTTAAGATAATCTGATCTGATTTTTAACTTAAGAAAGCTATTTACTTCATTGTATAATTTTTCTATTATTCTTATAGTAATTTTGATCATCTCAGTTTAGTATTCTAGTTTTGATATTATGCTTTTCTCATTGTTATAAGTTAAATCGCATTTCTCATAATAAGAATCTGAATTAATGAGATATAGGAAATTAGTATTACTATATTTTATCTCAAACTTTCTTTTTTACGTATTCTGCTACACGTTTGATATTTTTTTGCCCTGCTAAAGTAACACCTTCAGCAAGTTCAAGTTTGTAAAATGAAGAGTTACTTTTACCTATTACACTATAGAATGAATTTATATATAATTTAATGACTTTTTGCTTTGAATTTAAAGATTCATAGGTAAAGCAGATAGAACCGTATTATTTTATAAAATTATCATATAATAAATCAATAAAAGGATCTAAAATTTTAGCTATTTTAGTATGCTTCTTCATATTCTTTATCAAGAATAAAATATTTTTTATTACGCTTACTATTAATATAAATTTGCTAATATCAGCTAAATCTATTTTACTTTTAACCTTTTCCATTTAGTTTTTTTTCTTTCTGAGAGATTTTAGCTATGCCTTTATTTCATTTCATATATTAAGTAAAATTTTCAATATTTTTGGAAATAGACCTTTTTGCTCAGATTTATTTCTATGCTATACAATTTAGACTCGTATAGGATTACTGTTGTATTTAAACTTAATATTAAAGAACACTTTATTTTTTCTATTTAGTTTATCAGCTTCTGAACTATCTTTTCAGGTGAAAGATTATAGGTTATAATTATGCTAGAATATAAGGAAACAAAGTTTAACTCATAATAGAATGCTTATTTTCAAGATCTTTTTTTAGTAAGAAAACATATGCTCCTGAAAATTTCCTAAATGCTTTCTGGTCAGAAATTTTTATGCTGAATAGAATATCCTAGACTCTCACTTCAGCACCTAAGAGATTGCATACTTTTGTTTCTATAACATATTATATATATTAAATAAAATTATATATGCTATTGAAATGATTTCTTTATAATTATTTATGATATTACATTTGATTACAAGCTTCTGATAACGTAAAGTATTTATAACACAATAATTTATTTTATATAATTTTTGATAGAAGAATCAGAAGTCTCATTCTTGGCTTCTGAATAATATTTCTATAATTTGCTTATATACATATCAGCTTTGCTATTGAGATCACATTTTTTTAAAAAGTATTTAAGTGAATTTTTTTCAGAGCAGGGTGGAGTTGTAAAAATTTGCGTAAATATTAATTGATAAATACCTAGGGAGTTTAAGAAAGTAGGATTCAATACTTAAACTAGGATAGATCTTGATCTTAATAGATTTTTAGCCTCCTGTTTTTTATAATCCTTATTTAGTAAACTTTTTTACCTATTGTGAATTTTTCTGAAAGTAATTATTACTAGATAGTTTTCCTATCCCTTCAAAATAATTCCAAGTGAGAATAGAATTAGCATTAGTTTTCTTATGCAGTTTTGCTAATATTTGCTGAATGATCCATTTAAGAACTTTTAATTTGATAGCCTTTTTCACAATAAAAGCTAATTATAAACTGAATCATTAAATTTAAGCTGAATATCTGAGGTGAAAGATTTCTAACTTAAAGCAAAAGTTTTTAATAAATTAGTCTGATTTCTGCATATGATCATAATTCAGCATAGTTTTAATTTTATTTTTACATCTACTAAGCATATCTGCTCTAAAGGAGTCAGATCATCTTTCTAGTATATGATCATACAGATTGTAAAAATTTGAGCTGTGTCATCTTTTGCTTCTGAAACTCATTAATTTTAATAATAGAGATGCATAGAAAAAATTAGGAATTTTAAAACATAACTTTCCAATGGTTCCTATTCTGGCTTTAACTGCAACTTGTTCTCCTGCTGATGTAGAAATTATATAATCGATTCTAGAAAGAACTAATATGAAAGTTATTAGAACCTCAATTATTCATCGTTTAGAAATTACATTAGAAGTTAGATCCAAACCAATCCAAAAAAAAAACTTTATCAGGCTGTATTCGATTTACTAGATAACTTTGAAGGATGTGTAATTATTTATGGAGCTATAGTTACAGAATATAATAATATGATGAATGAACTTCAGAAAAAGTTTAATCCAGATATTGTAGGAATGTATCATGGAAAACTTACAAGTAAAGAGCAATATGTTATATCTGCAAATTGGAAGAATCAAATCATTAAAATAATGTCAGCAACTTCAGCTTTTGGTATGGGTATAAATATAGACAATGTTACTTTAATAATCCACACAACTCTGCCAATGTCTTATGATCGATATGTACAAGAAATTGATCAAGCTGAAAGATTGAGACAACAATCTAGGACAATACTATTTTATTCACAAAGTGATATCTGTACACTATTAACAATCTTGAGTAAGGGACAGGAAAGGTAAATATTATATTGTAATGTTACATTATTGCAAAATATGTAATACTTATTAATTTATTCTATAAGTCTTTCCAATTTTACAAATTTACAACATTCATCTGACCTAAATATTATAATGGATAAAAAAAAAGAAAAAGTTATGGAAATGGTATTATTTGCAGATGCAGTATATGAATGTCATCAACAACTTGCGTATTATTTATTTCTCTGATCAGATGATTCTATAATTTCAGAATGCCATAATTGTGATAATTGTAAAGAACGGAAACGGGATAATCCAGATATTTGTGTTGTATCAACAGAAGCATTACGGCTCATTAGAATCGTAAATGCACTATTACAACATGCAACAATTCAAAATAACAACATACATTATGTAACTCGTGATAATGTAGTGGATGTGTTTTATGAAAACAAAAATAGTAATGTAACTAGAAAAAACTTTATGCAAGTATCAGAATACCCTTAAATTGCTTTCAAATAAGATTACGTCCAAAAATAATATGTCTTTATTTGTTAGATTCTTTAATTGATAAAAAAATTATTAATCAAGTTATTGACCTTCAAAGAGTCCGTCCTGAATCATCAGTATTAACTCATAGTTGTAAAATTGTAGGAATTTGTGAAAATGCGGAGAATATTATTTCATCAAAGATTTGACAATTATTTTTGAAATAATGAAATTGATTTATATTATAATCATTTATATAATTGATCATTTATATGATTGGCTAATAAAATTATGATCTGTGATATCAATTTTGTTTCTATTTTTATAATGTTACACATGTCAATCACTGAGTCAATCATTAGTTATATTCAAAAGACCCTATCCTTAAGTCCACTTATTTATATAATATTAATAATTTACTTATTCATCTATTTATAACTATATTTAATAAATAGTTTCCTAAATCATTATTTTCTACATATTTCATAATTACCATATAATTTAAAGTATTAGGATCTTGAGTAAATCCATATAATTGACTAAGATTTTTTCTGAATATTTCTTTAATTTACAATAATATTTATAATGATATTTATATTAAAAATAATAAAAATTAATATAATGATTATTAAAATAATTAAAAATTAAAATAAATATTTATTAAATATCTCATTTAAAAAATTTTCATTTAAATTTGATGATTTATTAAAGTTTTAAAGAATTATGCTAGAATTAATATATCTAAACTAATTTTTCTTTTTATATAAATAATATATAATAATTCTATCTATTCAAATTGCTTTATATATTATGCTAAATCCTTCTTTATCAAGATATTTAATATGTTCCAATTTGTTATAAGGAATCTATTCTAATATTTGCTTTTTATTTAAAGCATTTAATTGGGTTTCTTGAATAATTTTATCAATAAATTTATTTTTACTAGTCCAATTACACTACTCTACAATAAATTACTAGATTTTATAAATTTTACTTAGTAATAAATAATAAAATTGAAGATTTTTAGATTACATAAAAGTTTATGAATTTGTAATAAAATTCATTTTAAATTTTTTTATTTAATAACTAATCAATTATAATTTTAAAAATATAATTCAAAAATATTCTATTTATAAAATACCAAAAAAATACTTATTTATAAAGTAAAAGATAATATAATTTTATATATAAATATGTAAAAAACATATAAATAAATTATTACTTATACTTCAATATAAGAAAATTTTTTCATATTTTAAAAAATTTCTTTTTTCATTTTAATATCTAAAAATTATAATTGATCAGCTTTCAAATAAAAAAATCAGATAACTTTTATTGAAAATTTGTAAACTTTTATGCAATCTGAAGATCTTCAATTTTACTATATATTACTAAGTAAAATTTATAAAATCTGGTAATTTATTGTAGGGTAATGTAGAAAAATTTTGTTGAAAGAATTTAGAATTACATAATTTAAATCCAATTTGTAATTTATAACAATTTAAAAATATTCTAAATAATAATTTTATATTATTAATAATATAATATTAATTATAACTTAAAATAAAATATAATACCTACTTAATTTAATAATATTAATATATTTATAAATTTATTATATATTTAAATATACTTCAAATTTACAAATAAATAAATATAAAATAACTTATTCCTAAATTTAATAAAAATTTTAGTTAAATTAAATTACAGTAAAAATATAAAATATACTGATAACTAATAAAATAATTTTATATTTTAAATCATAATTTTTTTTAAAAATAAAATATAAATAAATTTAAATTATAAGAAAAGTAAATTAAATACTAAAAAATAACTTAGTATCTATTATATTATTAATTATTAAATATATTTTTTTAAATAAGAGTTTAATTTGCAATAGAATAACATATATATACTAATAATTAATAAAAATGACTTACCATATATTATTAATTATTAATATTATTTAAATTAAAAGTTAATTAAACATAAATTATTAAAAAAAGTATAATCTATTATTAATAATCAAAAAATTAATATACCTTCTAATAAAGATTTATTTTTTTTTAATAAATAATTAAAATTAAATTATGATAAATATAATTAAATAAAAATAATTTACTATCTATTATATTATTATTTATTATATATTTTTTTAAATAAATATTTAGATAAATATAAATTATAATTAAAGAATAATAAAATACTAATAATTAATTAAATTATTTACTATATAAATTATTAATTTTAGTTTTATTTAAAAATAAATCTTTAGTTAAATTTAAATTATAACAAAAAAAAAATAATAAATAACATACTTTCTTTAATAATATATTTTTAAAAATTTAGTAAAAATTAATTATAATAAATGTTTAAATATATCAATAAAAACTTATCAACTATTGTAATATTATTTTTTAAATAAAATTTAATTAGATATTAATTATAACTAAATATAAATATATACTAATAATTAATAAAAATAACTTATAATCTATTATATTATTATTATTTAACAATTTAATTAAGTTTTAATTATAGTAATAAGTATAAGTAAATCAATAAAAATAATTTACATACTAAATTATTAAATATTTTATTTTTAATAAAAGTTTATTTAATTTTATAATCATAGTAAAAAGTATAATAAATACTGATATTAATTAAAATGACTTATAATCTATTATTTTATTATTATTAAATTTTTTTTAAATAAAAAATTTTGTTTAATTAAAATTATAATAATATAAAATACTAATTATTAATAAAAATAACTTATTTTCTAATAATAAAATATATATTTTAAATAAAAATTTAAATAAATTTATATTATAGTAATCAATAAAATAATTTACTTTCTTTAGTAATATTTTATTTTTTAAATAAAAAATTTGATTAAATTTGAATTACAATAAAAGTATAATTAATACTAATAATCAATAAAAAAACTTACTTCTAATAGTAAAATATTTTTTTTAAAATAAAAATATAATGAATATAAATTACTATAAAAGTATAATTAAATACTAATACTCAATAAAAATAACTTATGAACTATTATATATTATTAATAACTTTAATTTAAATTATTGTAAAAATTATAATTTAATATTAATAATCAATAAAATAACTTACAAGTTATAGTATTATTAATTATTAAATATTTTTTTAAATAAAATATTTAGTTAAGTTTAAAAATAAAATTAAATACTAATAATCAATAAAAATAAATTACAATCTATTATATCTTATTAATCATTAATTATTTTTTAAATAATTATTTTAGTTAAATTAAAATTATAGTAAAAGATATAATTCAATACTGTAATTAATAAAAAAAATTTAAAAGCTATAGTATTATTAATTATTAAATAATTTTTTAATAAAATATTTAGTTGAGTTAAATTACAGTAAAAAATATAATTAATTACTGATAATCAATAAAAATAACTTACTTTCTTTAGTAAGATCTTTTAAAATAAAAAAATTATTGAGTTTAAATTAAAATAAAAGTATAATTAAATACTAATAATCTATAAAAATAACTTACTTGCTAATAAAATATTTATTTTTAAATAATAATTTTGGTTGATTTTAAATTACAGTAATAAGTATAATTCAATACTGATAATCAATAAAAATAATTTACCATTTATCATATTATTAATTATATTTTTAATAAAAAATATAGTTGACTTAAAATTACAGTAATAAGTATAATTAGATACTAATAATCAATAAAAATAACTTATAACCTAATAAAATTTTTTTATTTAAATAAAAATTTAGTTTTTTGATTTTAAATTATAGTAACAATATATTTAAATACTGATAATTAATAAAAATAACTTATAATTTATTGAATTTAAATAAAAAGTTTAGTTGACTTTGAATTATAGTAACAAATATAAATAAATATTGAATAATCAATAAAAATAACTTACCTTCTTTAATAATATTTTTTTAAATAAATAATTTAATTGAGAATAAAAAGTATAATTAAATACTGATAATCATAAAATAACTTATGATCTATTATATATTATTAATTATTAATTTTTAAATAATAATTTATTTAAGTGTAAATTATAGTAAAAGTATAATTAAATAATAAAAATAACTTATAAACTATTATATTATTAATTATTAATTATGTTTTTAAATAAAAATTTTTATTTGAATTTAAATAAAGTAAAATGCATTAAATATAATAATCAATAAAATTAACTTACTCCCTAATAAAATTTATTTTTTAAATAAAAAATTTGATTAAGTTTAAATTACAATAAATAGTATCATTAAATATTGATAATCAGTAAAAATAACTTATAAACTATTTATCAAATATTTAATTAATTTTAAAATAGAAAAAAAATACATTAATAATCAATAAACTAACTTACCCTCTTTATAATATTTTTAATAAAAAATTTAAATAAAATTAAATTACAGTAAAAATTATAAATTTATATTAATAATAATTTACCAACTATTATATTATTTATTAAAAATATTTCAATAAAGAATTTTTATTATAATAAAGTATTATCACTGAGTTCATTTTCAGTTATCTTAATGTCTAAATTAAGAGACTGCAGCAGTTTATTCTACACATTGGAGTTTCTGACTTTAGGACTTTCTCTAAGTTTTACAAGTATTCGTTATACTTGAATTAACTTAGCAATTTATTACGTCTTAGAATTTAAGATATAATTATTTGAACTTGTAATGACGAACTTAATAGCAAGTTAGTGTAAGGTATCATAATAATCTTAGATGAAAGACAATGTTGAAGGGAAAAGTAAATTTGTATAGATTTAAATTGATTCCTTTATTTATAACTTGAAACTTATATGAATCTTACAAATGAGTTTGTAAACTTACAACTGAGTTAATTTACAACTTAAGCAAAAAGCTATTCTATTTATACAAAAATGTATTTATTACAGTTAACTATTTGCTATGCTATAAATTAACTAAATATAGATATATGTTTCAATAAAAATATACTTAAATGTAATAAAATAATAAAATAATATAAACTCTAAATATAATAAAAAGAAATAAAATAAATTACAGACATTAAAGAGATTATAGGTGAAATAGAGTAAACAGAATAGACAGGCTGTACAGAAAATACAGTAAAAACAAGCGAAATAGAAATTATTGTTGATCACTGTTTGGCGTAGTAAGATTATCCAAAGGGAGA